GAGGAATTCTGTCCTTTGCTTGGGGTTTTTTTTGGCAAAAATTTTAACTGGCTGAGTTATCTTAAGTCATGCCCAGTCAGTTCCTCAAAGGTTTGTGTGTGTATGTGTGTGAGGCAGAGGGGAAGAAGAAAGTTTATGAAAAATATAAAATCATGTTAAAGTGTAGAAATACTTGTATTCTCTGTTTTTACATGTATGTGTGTGCACCTCTCCAGCAGCTGAGTGATCTTTCTCCCAGTCCCGCGGGGCTTTAGAGAGTTGGCTTTGAGGTATTTTTTAATTTTTGCAGAAGTTCTAAAGAAAGATAGTCACTTTGCACTCCCTGAAACTCAAGGAAGAAAATTAACTGTTACTGAGCCAGGCTTGCAGAACAATGTGAATGACTGAATAGATATAACTAATACCTCAGGATAGTGGGGCCACTTTGAGCTCTAGGAAACTCTTATTAAGTGACAGGATGGACTCCAACTCTTACAGCTTAGCAGAGTGGAATTTGAATTTGGATTGTTCATGCTTTCTGAATGAGTGTCCGAATTGTGTGTATAAAAATGTGTGATGAGCTACCTTTGTATGTCCTGGGACTTGAATTTCATGAAGGTGTTCAGGTACAAGATCTCCACCCACTTGTAGCTTTAGGCATGTCAGGATTGCTTAAATGAGCAATAATCATTTAAGCATGGAGTAAAAACATGGTCGATGAACTGGAAATAAGAATAATTTATGCAGAAAAACCTCTTTCTGCACTTTTCACATAAATAATCAAATACTGCAAAAGCACCAAAGGAAACCAGGATCATGTCGTCTCAGGTGACCAGAAAATTGAATTTTATTGCCACACAACATTCAGTGACCACTTTTGGTGGGATTGGTCTTAGAGCTTGTTAACCCTTTTCCCTCAGATACATCCTCTGACATTCCTCAGTGGGACAAATTTAGCATTGTTGAAAAAAGTTTCTCTGGCTCAAAAATGGACAAATAATGGGTGAACAGAGTGCACCTATCAGTCAGTCAGATAGGCTCGAGATGCTGAGAGATGGATTGCTTATCTATTCTTTCAGGAAGCACATGTTGCTCTGTCTCATTTCCAAGGGGTCCTCTGTCTTCTGCTGGTTATTCCCTTGTGGTGTATGTGTTAAGGTAGAAGGCGAGTAAAATTCTGGTGCAGTGAGGAAAACAGTAAGTAAATCTCAACTCACTATTACCTTGTACTCCAGGAACTCATCTGAGAATATAAAATAGGCACAGAATGTCCTCGTGTTATTCAGAGATGTAAATGCCAGTAGATAGTAAGAGGAAAAGGTGAAATTGGTCAGTAGCTGCTGGTCAATACCTACAGAATTCTGGAGGCAGCAACTAATACAGAAATTCCTAACAAGAAATGAGGAAAAATCCTCTTCCATTGAGTGTGTAAGGGTTTGGTTGTGCAGTTTGAACTGGTTCACGTAAAAATACTTTGCTTTTTAAATAAAATACATCCACATTGGCCTTTTCAATTCTCTTCTCCCCTGTTGTGCTGAATCAGACACTGCAATGCACACGTTGCATTGCATACATGCATGAACAGTTCAGCTTCAAATTGCACTCTGCTAAGCTATATGATTTAGAGTCTGGGGTGTAGCTTTAAAATAGCTTCCTGGGGACCAGCTTCGCCTCACTACCAAGGTATTGGTCATTCTTATTCAGTAGCACAATGCAAATTAATAGCAGTGCCACTGTTGTCTCTTGTTTTCACAAGTACTTGAGTCTTAAGTATTGAATTTAATGCAGGTCCCAAACACGGTCCAGAACAGAGATTACTGTGATTCGCTACTTTTCCATGAACTAAATTTTCACAGCAGCCAGTCACTGAGGGATGAGTAGCTCACTTCTAAAATTAGACAGCCAAATTTTTAGGACATCTGTAGTTCAGAAGAAAGCAGCTGTGTGGAAATTAATTTAATAGTGCCTCTGGTAAAGCATCACTTTTTCAGTTATCTAAACTTCTTACCACTTATGGCCACATTATGATGAGTGATATTAATGTACTGTAGCTACAGTTGCTACAACGCAAAAGGAATGCTTCTTCCTCCACCCCCACCCCCCATTAAAGAAGAGAGTTAAGCACAGTGGACTGTACCCGAACAATGGGATCATGAAGAGTAAGAGGCACTTAAATGAATATGGTTTGCCTCAAACGCATGGAGAAATACAGAACACACCCCTTATTAAATTTCTGTTGCGGCAAACGAATCCACCCTCAAGCCACTATCAATGAATGCAAAGGGAAATGGACTATCCACACACGTTAACCTGCTATGGGGATCAGTAAATGCAACTCTGAATGTTAGCATATGAAAAATGCAATCGCTCTGTGACATGAATACCAGATCGGGGTGAACTCAGTCTATGTCTATTTGTTCAAAAGGTGTTGTCGGGTTAAATTTATATTGGTGGGCCTGATGTAGGCCAGTTGCTATTTCCTCTCAGAGCTCTTCTCATAAAGTCAATATGAACTCTTCAATGTGTGATCTGGCTGGCTTGATGTCAGTGTGGTCACAAACCCAGACCTTGCTGGCATCATGGAAAAACTGCTTTGTGATCTTGGGGTGAACTCAAGAGGTGCCTCTTGGGAGGAATCTTGAGACTCTTGCGAGTCTGAAAGTTGGTAAAAACGGAACGTAACTGTTGCTCTGTATGTCCAGACAGAAGGTGTCAATGTATAACAGTTTCAAAATCTCTATTGTTTTCTGCTAAAATGTTTGGATAACAATGCAGCACTATTGTAGTTTTCCTGTGAAAATTCACCTGAATCGAAAACTTGCCTAGCGTGCTCTATGACCAGTAAATCTACAGGGAAAAAACAGAGGGGGAGATAGGAAGGACAGGGGAAAAGCACAGGAAGTTGGTGCAATCCTCCTGGAAAAAAATGTGCCTGAAAGTTATGTTTAATTTAATTTAAGATTCTGAGAAGCATTATACAACTTCTGGAGCTGAAGTGCACAATCTTTCAAGGTTGATTTAACTGTATGGTTATAATCTAGCTGCTTTAAAAACTTGTACTCAGACACCCAAGAAATGTCTAAGTTCTAATTTAATAATTTTTAGAAAAAAGTACATTCAGTGGCTCTTGGGCAGATAAGAGAAGTTTCTTTTGAGTGTTTCATCTCTCTTTTTATTATGCTTAAGTACCTTTTAGCTTTGATGATTGGCTTGACCTAAATTGACATCTGAAAAAGAAGCCTGATATCAGTGCATAAATCTGTGATAATCACCACATCATTACACAGTATCACCTTTTGAAGAAGGAATTGTAAAGCTACTGTCTGTATTCAAAAATCAGCAGAAAGCTATTAACCTTTGCATCTTATAAACAGATTAAAACATGCCACTTGTGAGATACAAAACCAGTAAGCTAAAGCAAAGCTAAACTATTTGAGATGGGACTTTGATGTATGTTTTGTTAGAGGTCTGCTCTCCTGAAGTTCAGATAAAGGGATGTCAGGTTGTGATGAAAAATTTGTCTTGTGTGATGAATACTAGATTCTGAAGTCAGAACCTTCTCAGCTGTTCTGCTGTTTTTCTGAGCCAAACAGCTCTGCCTGAAAACAGGCAGTGTGATACTGCTCTAAATTCATGGGGAAATGATGTTAACCTCTACAGAGTCATAGAATCATAGAATGATTTAGGTTGGAAAGGACCTTAAAGATCATCGAGTTCCAACCCCCCTGCCGTGGGCAGGGACACCTCCCACTAGACCAGGTTGCTCAAAGCCCCATCCAACCTGGCCTTGAACACCTCCGGGGACGGGGCATCTACAACTTCTCTGGGCAACCTGTTCCAGTGCCTTACCACCCTGAGAGAGAAAAATTTCTTCCTAATATCTAATCTAAATCTACCTTCTTCTAGTTTGAAGCCATTCCCCCTCGTCCTATCACTACGTGCCCTTGTAAAAAGTCCCTCCCCAGCTTTCCTGTAAGCCCCCTTTAGGTACTGGAAGGCCTTTTCTCCTCCAGGCTGAACAACCCCAACTCTCTCAGCCTCTCCTCATAGGAGAGGTGCTCCAGCCCTCTGATCATCTTGGTGGCCCTCCTCTGGGCCTCCTCTGTGTAAGCTGAGCAAGGGTTAGCGAGAAGCTGTTTATGAATAGAAAGCCCCCTAGTTCTTAATTTAGTATTGTCTAGAAGGGGCCTGAAATGTAAGATATTAAAGGCTTTGTGTCTTCACACACTGTGCAGCAGGTATTTGTAGCCCCTGAAAAGTATTAGCAACTTATGCTTCCAATATGAACATTGTGTTGAAATCTTTACCCACTATTGTCCTTTTCCCTCCCCACAACTGTTTCTTTGAGGATGTTCCCCCATTTGCTTAAAATAATAGCAGTCACAGTAAATAGCCACCACCGGGATGTTTATTAGGAGCTTTGTGATGCACTAATTGTTTGAAATCACAAGGCTTCAGAATATTCTTCCAGTGACCTACTAATGCGCATCCTGCAGAAAACGTGAAAGCTCTTACTTTGGAAGCATACAAGCGTCTTCTCTTTTTGGAAGTATTTGCAGGTGTCTAAATTAGTCTAAATTAGTGTAAATTATATGCTTTAAATTTGCAACTTATCTGATGTTTTTCTTTCTCATTTGTGCAGGTAGGTATGGAAAATACATACCAAAATGCATAGGTAGGCATATTCAGGGCATAAAGGACTAGGGCTGAACACTATGCATACAACATAGGTGAAGCTCACTGAAAAATGCTGTACCCGTAGATATGGAGTACTTTTGTATGCATATATAGACACACATGCATATGATCAATTCTTACATGTAATTTTCTTGTTACTAATTGTAGTCCACCTGTTAATTTTTAATACATTTCCAACCAACACGATACTCTGTATGAAACTCTATCATGAAGTAGTCTAGATGAGCAAGACTTTGTTTTTAACTTTGAAGCAGAATGTCAGCTGACAACAGAAAATGCAACATACTGATCTAAAGAAGTCATGCATTGTGTTGTTTACTTACCGACTGCCTTTAGAGAGGCGTACTTGTTAAGCTCTTTGCCTGGGGGCTGTTGCTCATATGGGTTTGTGATCTGTCCCAGGCTGGGATATGAATGTTGATGTGCCATTTGAGGAAGGAGGGGAGATGTTGGCATGACATTATTCATCTGTGTTGGATCTGTGTTAAAGAAAATCAACAAGCATTAAGAAAAAAAGAAATCGGTCTTAAGGTTTTAACGTCATTACCCAGTACAGATTAGACAGGATATGTCATGAGATTTAATGCAACAAAACACTATTTACTACAAAGTGGGAGTTTGAGTACAGCGAACCTGTACTTCAAACAGTTAATGGCATGATTAAAGGCTGATGAATGCTTGTAGCAATACATGCTCACTTTCGTATAAAACAGATCTTTGAACAAAAAAACAGGCTTTCAGAACAATAGAACACCAATACAAAGACTGAATTTGCTGCAGCATTAGGATACAAACCAAAACTTGAAGTTTATTCCAAGGTAGCTTGAATACAGGCCAGTCGTATCACTCTGTGGACTTAAATAGCCAGGCTAATCTAAATTGGCTTAGGCAGGCTGCTGCATATATGCACTTACACTGCTTTTAATACCAGTACCAGCTTGGTTATTTGCACAGCATTATGTTGCGTTCTGTAGATGTGCCCCACAGTGCAGAATGTGCGATTTTGGCTCATGACTATCATTAGGTAATTTCTTCAAAGCTTACACTTTATCATTATGTTTTCTCATTTTCCCTGACAGTAGGTATCACAATATCATACCAAGATAACATTTTCTGTAGCAGACATACCTAAAAGCAGGAGCTAATTACTGCTTATAAACAGTTTTATACCAGCACTCACCCCATATCTGTTCTGCAGTTGATTTGTTCCTTTATAGTAGAGAATACAGCCTAGATACTTTTCTTTCTAGGACATACCATAATTCATTAGTTGTTTTTAATCATAGAATCATAGAATGGTTTAGGTTGGAAAGGACCTTGAAGATCTTCAAGTTCCAACCCCCCTGCCGTGGGCAGGGACACCTCCCACTAGACCAGGTTGCCCAAGGCCACGTCCAGCCTGGCCTTGAACACCTCCAGGGATGGGGCCTCAACAACCTCTCTGGGCAACCTGTTCCAGTGCCTTACCACCCTTAAAGTGAAAAACTTCTTCCTAATGTTTAATCTAAACCTGCCCTCTTCCAGTTTATAGCCATTCCCCCTTGTCCTATCACTCCATGCCCTAGTAAAAAGTCCTTCCCCAGCTCTCCTGTAGGCCCCCTTTAGGTACTGGAAGGCCGCAATAAGATCTGCCCGGAGCCTTCTCTTCTCCAGGCTGAACAGCCCCAACTCTCTCAGCCTCTCCTCATAGGAGAGGTGCTCCAGCCCTCGGCTCATCCTCGTGGCTTTCCTCTGGACACGCTCCAGCAGGTCCATGTCTTTCTTATGTTGGGGACTCCAGAGCTGGATGCAGTACTCCAGGTGGGGTCTCACGAGAGTGGAGTAGAGGGGCAGGATCACCTCCCTTGACCTGCTGGCCACACTTCTTTTGATGCAGCCCAGGATCCAGTTGGCCTTCTGGGCTGCGATTGCACATTGCTGGCTCATGCTGAGCTTCTGGTCAGTCAGCACGCCCAGGTCCTTCTCCTCAGGGCTGCTCTCCAGCCATTCCCCACCGAGCCTATATTTGTGCTTGGGATTGCCCTGACCCAAATGTAGGACCTTGCATATTTAGCCTTGTTGAACTGCATGAGGTTGGCTTGGGCCCACCTCTCCAGCCTGTCTAGGTCCCTCTGGATGGCATCCCTCCCCTCCAGCGTGTCTACCTCGCCAAACAGCTTCGTATCATCGGCAAACTTGCTGAGGGTGCACTCAACCCCACTGTCCATGTCTGCAACAAATATGTTGAACAATGCAGGTCCCAGTACTGACCCCTGAGGAACGCCACTCGTCACTTCTCTCCACTTGGACATGTTTGATTCCAGCCTCTAAAACGTTTGGTCAAAATTGTATGCTGCACTCAATTTGCAAACCTAAATTTCAACAGATTTCAACAGATTTCAACAAGCTCAGAGTATCTTTTTTTGCTGAGTTTTCCAGGCTGTATATTTTGAGATATTTGGAGCTGATTGTCACTCCTAGCACCTTATCGTGGCTTCTGAAATCACAGACCAGTGCGTTTTTCTCCTGCAATGAAGCCATGGTGCTGAATTGGTGACACTACAGTAACTCCCACAGCATCAAGCACAGGCTCATGATCATGTAGAAAGAAAGCTGGTCTGTTAGGGGAAAGAAGGCTTCTTACGATGGAGAGAGTAGACCACCCCCAAAGTGCCCACAGGATCGAGCAGGAGCCAAATATTCCTGCAGTTTGCCAGGATTTAAAGGAATTGAGCCACTTGGCCTTCCACAGCTCATTAATGAAGCTGAGTGCATGAGCAGGAGCTCTGAAGCCAGTTAACAGATTTACTGCTGGGAGAGAAAAGGAAAGCTAAGACATTTTTAAACTTTGTTCTTCTTCACCATTGCTGCTGCCTGGTGCAGTCTCTGCTGTTCAGGCTGAGGCTGCGCTGCCTCTGCAGAGCAGTGCAACCACATCACAGACACATGTGAACAAGTTGTGAGGGCACCTCGAGGCAACTCAAGAAAAATGGTAGAAGTGCTAGCATCTAGTAACAGTAGGATTCTTCTTGCTGTTACTGGTTATTAATAGGGAACAAACTGGTCGTGTATAGTAGGTAGCACTGAATGAGAAATTATTTTCCCATAACAAGAGGTTTTCAGGAAGGTTTTTTTTTCTTTTACCAGACAAATGAAATCTGAAGTTGGGCTTTACTTCACAAATATTGGGTCAGATCAAGAGAAACATTTTGTTATGATTAAAAATTGTATATGTATGAACTAAGTTGGCTCACTTTTAAAGAGAGAAATGTTATTTTGGACTGAAAACCAGAAACTTTTCTGTTCCAGAATTCCGCAAAAAATATCGGAACACTTTTTGAATCCTTTTTGGTAGGTTTACCTTGAAAGGGTAAGTTTGTTAAGTCAAACCTTTCATGGAAACTGTTGTTATTTTAATGAATTGCTATTTTCTAATAAATAAAAGCTCTCAGGAAGTTTCTGTTCAGCTATAGTACCAGCATGTCTGATGTGCTCAAGTGGAGTGACTCTTCTCTTAAAGCAAGAATTCGTGAAATCCTATGGCGTTCCCATTCTCTCTCTTGAGTACAGCTGAGGAAAGCCCCTTACTCTAATGGCTTGAACCATAAAATAGCTGACCACTCTTTCGAAACAATCCGTATCTTCCAAATATCTCTTATGGTTGCATCTACAAATACACCTTTGAGGAGGAATGCTGGCACAGCTGTATTTCAGTAACAGGGCAGCTCTAAAGATACCAGCATGGGTGGGACCTTTAATATAAGGAAGGTGTCAACCTTTTACCACTACATTCCCTAATTTTTTTCTGAGTAGATCTAAATCAGTACTTCATAGATGCTACTGCCATGAAGTTCCCTTGTGGCAATTCTTATTATTCAGTCTGTCAAAACATCATGATTTGACTGTTATGGAAGTATTGTGAGCACCAGTATTTCTATACTCAGTGCCAAAGTGACTTGCAGCTGTGGAGACTTGCAAAGACGATGCAAATAAGGTGTAGTTAACCAGGACTGTTTTTCTACCTCTGCCTCTTACTTAGACCTATCATTTTTACTCATTCATCTCTTTAAACATAGCGAAGAAAGTTACCCTAGAAAGGTACTGGGGAAAATTAACTAGGTGTAGTTGTTTTTCATGCAGGTGTTCAGTGGCAGACTATGCTGTTACTAGGTTGCTGGGTTGCTAATGTTGCTGGGGTTTGGTTCTTTGAGTGATTATGGAGATGTAAAGAAATATGTTTTCAATTTCCAGATCATCTTTGACTTCCATTTTGTCTTGTTAAACCCCCAGAACTCTCCTGAATTATGAATTTCAAGCAAATTAATGACAGTCATTCTTTCACTGCTGCACTGACTGCACAGTGCCCCTCGCTTGTACCCAGATGCTTACACAAGACTAAGTCATCACAGTTCAAATTACTCATTCAGTTGGCCATTTGCACAAAGTAAATCAAGCAAAAGGCCAAACTGGGAAAGTGCATTGAACTATATTGAAGAAAGATTCCTATTTATAAAGAGACTCCCATTGGAATGCCCTCCTAGGGACTAAAAGAAAAATCTCAGCTTGATATATACATCTTTATAAACCTGAATCATAGTAAATTTGAGTCTAACTGGCCATAACTGGTGAACGTTGCATTTGTTTGCCAGCTCGCTAAACTGTGTGTGATCTGATTCCTTATCTTTAGGTTTCTAGAAATAAGTAAGCAAATGGGACACTTGCATTGTTTTCTCCACACATAGTTAATGCAATGATGGTGGGTAAATTCACCTATATTTGGATGCTATTTAGGAAACTTTCGTAATTGAAGTTAACAATGGTGTAATGCAAATTCTGCAGCAGGCACGGTGATGGGGAGTGTAAGTCTAACCACTGGGGGGAGCCCAGGCTTAGCCGTGAGCAACTAGGAGGTTTTGAACAGGACTTGCCTCGCCTACTCTGGGGCAATTCACATTTATAACTAAAAAAGGTATTGGCCTCGGCAGTGTTGTCTTATACTTGTAAATGCTGCCTCAGTCTCAGCAATGCTGAATAGGGATTCTCTCAGGAAATAAGTAAATTTGTCGACAACTACTTCACAAGATCTCAATGTGAAATTTGAGATTTTTCAATTTGACATTTTGAGTTTTTCCCTGAAATTGGAAAAAATAGTAAGTGTTAAATTTTCGGGAGCAAATAGTAATCTATTGGATTACTCAAAATACTTTGGGATGCAAGGGATTAGTTTCAATTGGAAGAAAATTTAACCAGAAGAATCCCTACCAGCTTTGTCACTGCCCTCTAGTGCCAAGTTAAATCCTTTATACTTATAAACCAGATATTCTGTGATTGGTATTTGCAAATAGCTGGCTTCACTGAGTGGGGACAACTTTAACCTGAAAGCTGTGGCTGTGCTGATACATTACTTTTGGCAACCTGACACTGGTACATTGTCCAGCACAGTATTCCATATAACCAGCTGCGCTCTGCCACTGCCAATTTATGTATTTATTTTTAAAAG